CAGGAAGGCTCTGCTTTTGTGTTTTAATGTTGGTATTCTTGGATTTCCAGAAAAAACTTAAAAGTGTAATTGGAGGGCCAATTTGGGGCCTAAGCTTAAGTGGATACTTGATACTAACTCATTTTCTTTCGCTTTTTGTGTCTTAGGTAGGCTTTGATGTGTTTGTTGTTATTATGATTCTAATTAGTTTTAATCTAAACCACAGAAGTTTTAATTTTTGTTTTGTATATACCATTAGATGAGAAAATTGGTTTTGACTGCATTATGGTAGACAAATAAATAATACATCTTTAACAGTTACATAGAAGGATATTTGTTTGGAGGCATGATAATTCAGACATCTGAGACTTAGCCTGAAGCTGCAACTCTTAAAATTTTTTCTTTGATATAATGATTACAGATAATCACTTGTATTCTTAATTATGTTACATGAAGTTCCAAACTGTTATCAATCAAGGGAATGGGCACACGGAAGAACACGCTGAGAGTTGTCCTAATAGATCAGTTTTCCAGCTAGTAGTGTAAGTGTGTACTTGCTATAGCTCTTTCAACCAGATCCCTAAGGAGTAGCTTTCCGCAGGGGAAAAAGGATATTTGCCCATATGTTTATCATCTAATAATCATTTATTTAATTTCACTTAGTAAGTACTTGCTCTGATTTCTAAAAGTGTTGCTGGGCTCATACTAAAAATACATAGAAATATCTATAAAACCTTAGCTTTAAAATCTCCACAAATAAGAAGGAATTGTCCAGAAGAGACATTTTAGAAGGAGTATGTATATATACAACATTACCCTGTTGATACACAAAAAAATAATTAGTACTCTTCCAAGTGTTGAAGTAATCATTCTCAATTTAAGTCAAATTTCTGCTTTTCTTTTGTTGACATACAATTTAATTGCTTAGGTTCAGTTTCTGATAATCATTTAAATATGAAGGAAATCAGAGAATCAAACTGGCCCCAGTAACATTTTCCAGGCTTGAAGTATGGGGCAAGGTACTATCTCGCATTTTGTGCTATGTGCTTTGGAGCTACCCAACATACTTCCAAGAAAGAAAAAGAAACCAACACAAGTGATGCATGCACAAATACAAACAATCAGTTCCTCTTGTACACTTACATTCCTGGCTGTTATTTTGGGAAGTATATGAATGGAGCATAGTCAAGAAAAGCAATCTTGTCAAGAAAGGCAGTCTTCATGCTAATGATTGCAAGTTTATTTGTGGGCCCTTCTCAAAGATCTCAGTTTTGATAAATAAATCTTGTTTACCAATCACTTTCTTCCAGAAAAGTATTATGTAATGTTGACAATTTTTCACATATTTTCTCAAGAATTAGTATTTGGTAAATCTCAATATATTCCACTTTATAGATTCTGCATTTACTTCTTTCTTAACCCCTTCCATTTTTGTCTCCAAATAGTGGTTTTGCTGCTATGGTAATTTAATTGGACTCCCTTACCTATCCAAATTCACACAACTAAAAATTTGGTTGCTTAACAGTTCTTTAAAAAGTTATTATTTCCCTCTCTGGGAAATAAGGGAAAAAAGACTGTACAGTCACATGACAACTACACACATGTTAGTGTGCTGAGCACTGCATCTTAGCTCCAAGTTCAGGTATGCCATTTTTTTGTGTTTCTTCCTCTAAAGATCACTATCATTTGTAGAGTTGTCATACCTATGCAGACTTCTTCTAGTAAACTGTTCAGAGCATTCCAGCACATCAGCTCTAATTCTCCTTACTATAGCAATGATCAGATAACAATTTCACAAGGAAAAAAACCTGAATACATAGCTTATTAAAAATGTACAACTAATACACACGCACAGACATAGACACAAAACTGTGATATGTTCCTTTTCTATGGGGATAGTTGTGGAGCTGGTTTAATGTTATACTTACATCCTTCTATAACAGTCAATCATCAAACTAATAGTAGAAACAACAATTAACTTTAACTCAAAACACCAAAATCCAAAGAAGAAAAAAATGTACAGGAAAATGATCTAACAGCATGTTAAAAATATTTATTATATGGGAAGAATGAATTATTTTGCATATAAGCAAAGAAACAAAAAGAATAAGGCAAAAGCAATCTAATTTATGCCCATAGTAATGCTTGTTCTTAGTACTTAGTGTATTTTAATTAGCCCAAAACATAACTGAGGGCAGCATAAAATCAAGTGAACTCCATTAGGTATTTAACAGATATTTGCATTCCAAATAAGCTCTCTTAATTACAAATTAAATTCTAAAGCAATACTTCTAATAACACAACTTGCTAAATTGTAACAGCTTACATATTGAAAGAACCCCTTGAGGGTGAATTCTGATACTGCCAGATTGCCAGTTACAGGCATAAACCATTGATCTTGTAAACAATGAAGGCTACCATTCAGCCAGCACCCAAATTATCAGTGGCAAAGCTGTTTAAATTCTGATCTCTGTCTTCTTCTGTGAATGGTCAGCTTGTCTATTGGGCATGTATAATTTGCTTCCTGCCTTCAGCACAAAAATTACATGTAGTGCAAAGAAGCTCATTTTAAAATACAAGCATTATCTTCTCCTGTATTCTGCTATTTTATTTTCTGAGTACAAAGTTGACTGCATTATCATCCATACTTCAACTTGAATATGGAAAGAGAAGATTATAGGCTGCACTACTAAACAAAGTTATTCCTTCTTTTGGTCTTTACTCACATTTTGCAAAATATCTGGTGCTAGGAAAGAATATAGGAGAGATGGCAGCATTAATAATTTCTCTGCAGGAAACAGCTATTATAAAATGATGGAAGTACATTACATAACCATTTTGGACAGGCATTAAATATTCTTGCCCAAAGACCACAAATGATTGGTATTTCAAATGGGGACCTCACTATTTTCCATATGTCATATCTGACATTTTTGAGGATCAAGGCAAATCTGCTCTAACAAAACTGTGTCTGAAATCACAAAACCCATCTAATTATTGTTCCTAAGCTGGTTGGACCACCAGGGAATACCAAGGCTATAGACTAGTTAAGAAGTTTTTTTTTAAAGAAAAATTGAAATAAGACCGCAACATACAATATTTGCAAAGAAATCTACATGGATGTGTCAATCTAGTCATTAAAATAGCCCTTATTAGAAGTCAACAGAAGTCTTCTATCTTTGGGGAGAAACTCTTTGATTTTCACTGTTCTCAAATACATCATAACTGGTGTGCATGCTAATACCTAAATTCTGGTTAACAAAATGTAACTTCTGTGTTTACATAATATACTACACCCAACAAATAAATATTAATGTGGCTCACATTGATGGCCATGGAAAGAAAACGGTTACTGACATCAACATGCTGAATCCCAAACTGCTGAATCCCATGTTTTTCTAGCTACTTTTCATATTTGTCTCAAAATCAGATTAAATATGCACCTGATAGACACATAAACACACAGCTCTTTTATTGTCTTTGAGGTCTGCCACCATACCCACTCTCACTGAGGTTGTGGGACCTGCTTGATCCATGTTTCAGATTAGGAAAATGTATCTCTACAAAGCAAAATAAAAAGTACAGTATCTTGAAGAATTTCCATCAGACTGTCAACACTTCTAATTTAACGACACCAAATACTGGAAAATGGAAGGTGTATACAACAGAAATATGTCACTGTTTGTATGGCTTGAAAAAAAAAAAGAAACTATAGCTGACTCAAATGAAGAATAGCCTTGATAATTTGGCCTTCTGCAACTTTCCACATATGTTGATTTATACCTCCCATCATGGATCTTGTTGGGTTGGAATGTATTAATGCAAAGATATCTTTAATCAAACCATTATAGGCTGATATGCATTTGGGAAACCTAAAAGTAAGTGTTTCGTCTTTTTAGTGACTTTAATATGGGTGGATTTGAATTCCCAAAATTTCCTAGCCAGCACGCTGCCTGGGGAATTTTGGGAAGTCCACCCTTCTTAAAGTTGCTAGGATTGAAAAACATGGTTATAAGTTCATAAAATAATCTTTGGCCTTTAGACTTCCTCATAAGGTATATATAAGATCCTGAGCAATAGTTATAACCAATCATCACCACTCAATATATAGAGAAGCTGACACACCAATACTCTTCTTCTTATGCCACTCTAGTACATTTTTCTCTTGCTATTAATGGTTATTTGTTGCTTTTGATGAGCATCAATTTAGATGCATCACATATGGTAGTATAGTCTCCTTACCGATACATTAGATAAATGGCTACTACATGCACAACAAGAAAGATACTAAGTATAAATATGCCTAAATTTAAATTTATAGAACCATTTTGTTGAGGGATTTGAATGGCCAATTTTGTTCTATGTGATATGAAAACTGCTATCTGGAAGGACAAAGGATTCTGTATATAGCTACTGTTGAAGAAAACTACCTGAAATTTCATACACTTACATAATAATTGCACTTTAAAATTGCACTTCCTATTATATCACGATATATAAATATATATAGGACATATAACTTGAAAAAGATATATTTCTTTATCACTTCACCACCACACAGAATGTGGTGGAACAAAATTTTAGACTATTTTCCTCTATATTCCAATTCTTGGAGAAAAGTTCATTTTAGTTCAGAATTTTTAGTGCAAAAAGTTCTGAATTAAACCATCAATCTTAATTAAACAAATTAAGGAGCTTGGAAGTCCTTTAGAAAAGCTGGGCTCGCAATCTGGAGAAATTTTGTTTCAATAAATAGTGAAAAACCCCTCATACCCAGCACTGAAGGAAGATTCAACTGTTAATCCAGTCAGCTTTCAATAAAGAGATGGAAAGGAGTACTGTCCAGTTCTTTGCCACAGGGAACTCAGTGTCTTGGGCTGGCCATGCTAGTTATTTTCCTGGTCCCACTAAGGATATTTGGCATAATTGCAATCTTCTGTTTGAGAGAAATCCCTTCCCTCCCTTCCAAATTGGATACGTTTGTGGAAATCAAAGCCACCACAAGTTTAAGGCCAGCTTACATTTTCACTGTTGACATCAGCTTCACTGGGACATCCAAAAAGCTCTCGCCTCAGCAAGTTCCCATCATATTCTAGGAATGTCAGATAGAGGTTGCGGAAAAACTCCACATGCTTGTTCTTTACTCTCAACTTTTTGGGCGAGTTCCAATGTATCACCTGGTAGAGAAAACAATGCAGGCATCAAAACCCAGCTTCATTGGTTTATCTTCTAAATATCCTCTTCTTTTGTTTTTGCATTTGACAACATTTCTTCCTCCTCAGTACAGAAATTATAAGAATATACCAGTGGGAAAGGTATCACTAAAGGACTTCCACATTTACCTCTTTTTTAAAGAAAACCAAGGAAAATTAATAATAGAAAATCCTACCTATTGAATTCTATCTATATGATGGGCTCTGTTCTACAAATCTACATCTTGGGCAAAGAGATATTTGAAACATGCTGTCTTTTGTCTGAACTAAGAGTCTTGTTAATTTTCATGTCTTACATTCTTGTTTCTTTGCAAAGATTAGTCGTTAAACAGTCCCTTTATCATTTCTCTACCCTCCAATCCAAATCAACAATCCTACTTTTGGCAGTATAAAGGGAGATGACAAAGGAGTGAGAATGAAAGGCCCTCAGGAAAAAGCATCAAGTAGAATAAAAAAAATTACAAATTAGAAAAAAATGGTTTTATGGAGGTTATATTTTAGTTATAAAAAGGATTTATTGTCCCAAGCATTAATTTTATGCATTTGAAAAAGATCCAAACAATGTATACGGAGAAGAAAGAGAGTTTTGTTGGAAACTCATCCAAAGTTCAACTCTTAAGAGTTTGCGTGTCCATTAAAAAAATTAGACAGAGGTAAGATAGTACTTTAAGTTGCAAATATATTTTGCTGCCACTGATTGCCAAGTGCTGAATAAGCAACAGCTGCATTACAGCTTTGTAAACTGTATCTTCTTGACAGTTCCTATTTCTAGTAAAAAAAAATCTTCTTTAGGTAATGATACTAAAATAGTTTGATCTTTCACAGGATCACTTACTGGCTACTGAGGAAAAGCCAGTAAAAATGAGTTATGTGAAACAAAGAGAACATAAAATATAATGAACAAGCCTAATTCAGAAACCTCACAGAAGAAAACAGTTACCTCAACTATCCAGAAAAAGATTTTGTCTATACCAAGCTATGCCTTTTGTTTTATAGTATGTAATTTTAATCTGTGCGCACAATGCAGTGAGATGTTCATATAATAAAGTGAAATAACTTTATTTATTGACAATTTAGCACCCTGTGAAGAAACATCCCTTTTTAGCCCACTGCATAAAATCCAAGGAGCAGGGAACAATAAAGCATTAAGACTAAGAACATGCCTTCTCTGCAGAAAACAAAAAATAAGTTAATGCAAGTCATAAAGGAAAGAACACTTAAGGACCAGTTAAATATTTTTAGAAGGAGATAAATGCTTTTTCTTAAATGTAGAAATGGAAATTATTGGTCAAAATTTTAAAGAAAGGATACAAGAAGAAAGCAGGAAAAAATATCAACACAAACCTGAAACTTGAGGATAATTTCCTTTTGAAGTTTCTTTATCATCAACTCATTTTTAGTTCCTAGCAGCATAAATTGATTTCCTCTTTTATATTATATTAATTAAGCTTGATTTGATTTTATTTCAATTTGAATTTAATATAAATTAAACAGTGAATATGTTACTTTCCTGTTTAGTAGATATTTGATCATTCCCCCTTTTGTTATAATAGAAATGAAAAGAACAAAGTTTTGAAGTCTCTGGGGACCATATCTCAGGGACCTTGACACACCGTTACACCACATTTTCATTTTACCAAAAGGAATTTGGGCAGTTTATCAGGCCCATTACCAATGCATAAAATTGCCAAAAAGAAAAGGAAAGAAAGAGGAAAATGCATCATTAAAAAAGGACATTGAATTGAATGGAATTTATATGTGTTAATTCATATGCACAGATACCAGTTTAGAAATAATTACCATAATTTGAAGAGCAATGCAATCGTTATACTGGCATGAAAAACTGTGACCAAGGGGACTGCTCTCCAAATGGTAATTACTGAGAAACAGGTTCAAGGCCATGCGATTCCTTCTTCCAGTTCTTCATTTTAAACTGTGTATCAAATGAACAGTCCTTCAAATGAGGAATGTATTTTGAAATAGGCTACATGGTCATACTATTATTTGTTCAGGATTTTGGATGAAGTTGTTTTAGATTTACCAAGCTTGCATGAATACCAGCACCAAGCAAATATGGAAGAAGTTAGCTAAATGAAGATTTGCAAGAAGATGCATTTATCTAGATTAGTGCTTGTCAAATTTGGCAAATAAAATGTCTGGACTTCCTCTTTCAGAATTTTCCAGCCAGCATACTGGGAGTTGAAGTACACATATTTTAAATTTGCCAAGCTTGAGAAACACTGATCTAGATCCTCCATTTTTATCTTTCTGCATCTGCAGTACATATTTAGTCCTATAAACTGCTGGGCAGAAGTGCATGGAACCTAGAAAACTGCACAAATTCTTGAGGATTGATTGATATGACCTCAGTGGGAATAAGTCTTAATCAAATCAGGGATTATCACAAAAAAAGTTAGTCAGTCTAGGCAATTACTTCATTAATATCTGCCAACTAGGCAGATACAAATTGAAAGTTTCTGTTTGTCCAAAACTTAATGGATCTCAAGGACTTGCTGTTCATAAAGTTATAATACTGGAAGATGTGTCAGGAATCTATATGTGAACAGAAGTTAATGGAGCACAGGAGAATAAGTGAAACTGATTAGTGTCACCTTTTTTCAGTGGTGCTGTTTATAGGGAAGCATGTAAAGAATAAGTGTATGTCCAATATTTAAGGACTATTAAGGAAACACAAAAAATATAAAACACAGAATTAACTTATGTTGTAATTAAGATATTACAAGTCATTTGACATTCAATATGTAAAAATACATGAAATGGATAATGGCTTTCATAAATATAATAGGCTTGTGATGACAAAAGCAATACATCATTATCACCATCAACAAAATAGGATACAAATATTGTTGCAGAATCACTTAATGGCTATTACATTCAGTTAAAGTTGAGAGTAAGAGGATAGCAAAATACAAATGTTTCCTTGTTTGGAAGAGAGCTCATGCATAATACATAGGTTTTACTGAATGATCACGATCTGAAAAGTTACTTAAGAGAAGTAATTTTTCTCAGTAATCTGTTTGCCTGATGGGATTTCTTTTTCTTCAAAAACAGGCACCATTGCCATATCACAAACTAGTTTTATTTATTTTATGATTAGATTTCTAAGACCTTCCAACTCACACCTGGAAAGTAAGTCCACTTAAGTGTAAGTGTAATCAGTTCTACATTTCTTTTAATCCTGTTCTATAGTTCTGTTTATCTTTATAATCCTGGGTTAGTATTATGAAAGATGAGAAGGCCATGTCTGCAGAATGATTTGGCATTCTATATGAACAAGCTCCTGACCAGAATCTAAATGCAGGCTTAAAACTATTGAAATGCCTTAATTTACAGCTGAACATAATATAGGTCAGCACCTACTGGAAATTATTATGAATAATTAAATCCTACTTCTTTTAGAGTTAATAATATGCCCATATATTTCAACCTTAAGAGTTCATAATACTGGCAACCACTCACAACATTTTAATTTAACGTTTCTGTTCTAAACCTAATCTCATAATTGCCATCTCATGATCTCTCTTTATATAAATGCTAAAATAAATATTACAGATATATTTTGACTTGATCTTGGTAAGCTTTGCCCATTTTGATAACTTCTATTTTGTAGATTGGCAAACAGTATAAACCATTTTTCTTCAGGAATGCACAAGAATTTCATGCAGTACTGAGATCTAAATGGAACCACCCCGGTACAATTGTTTTTGAATGCATTTCTGTACTTTTATTTTTTTAAAAATGTACTGGTAGTCCTTGATTTACGACAGTAACAGAACCTGTCCATTAGTGTCTATAGTTGATATTTACATTAAATAACTATGTTATTAACAACCTCCCCATCCTGCTCTTTCCAATGCATTCATTAAGCAAATATGCAGGTCATTAATTAGAGCATGTGTTTGACTCAGGGGTGGGGGAGAGCATGAGGCCTGGTGCAGGCACAGACCCACCTGCACTGCGCCTCCCAAGGCCTCATCCCATTCTCTGAGGTATCCCATGTTCTGCTTCCTGCCCCTTGCAGTCTCCACAGCCCTAAGGGCCTCCTCCCTATCCCACCCCACACAACTGTACACTTACCACTGAAAGATATCCAGAGCTCAGGAAATTGGAGTAGGGAGGGCCCCTCCGTTGCTGGGCCACATGACACAATTGAGGAGAAATCCTGCTGGTTTTGCTTTCCTTAATATGCTTTGCTCCCCCCAGAGCCAGCTAGTGTGTAAAGTTAACGTTTTTGGCAGTGGGTGAGCTGAAAATAAATCCTGCTGGTTTTGCTTTCCTCACAATCCTTTATGTTGCTTTACACTAGTGCTGTTGATCCTGGGAGACAAAAAATATTGTGAGGAAGGCAAAAGTGACAGGATTTATTCTCAGGTCACCCAGCAAGGAAAACTACCTTTCTGCTAGAGCTGCGGGCTTTGGGGGAGCAAAGCATAGCGAGGAAAGAAAAACTGGCAGGATTTATTCTTGATTGTGCCAGCAACAGTCTAGCAATGGAGCAGCCATAATAATCCTGACTTCCTAAGATTTCGATAGCTTCGAAAGCTGAGTGGGAGTAGGGAGGCATGTGTGGATCCTGCTGGGGTGGCAAACCCTACGGGGATCCAGTGGGGCAAGATGGGTGAGAAATAGGTAGATGGGTTTGTGCAGTGTCGCTATGGTTGGTTGCAAGAGGAAATGACCGTGGGGGCACTGCAGGCATTGTAACTTTGAAACGGGTTCGTCTGTAGCTTTTGGGGAGATGTCGTAATGTCAAACGGTCATTAAATGGTATATTATACCTGGAGGACTACCTGTATAATTTAACATTTTAAAAAATAGGAATATATTATAATACAATATATATTTTCATTTAAAATTTGTCCACAAATGTAGATCTTGTAAAACAATATAGCAACATGAATATATAGTTTTTTATTCAATAACACAATCCTTGATCTCCGGGA